TTTTTAGGCACATTCCGTGATCCAGCTACTGAACATTATATGACATTAATGGAAGCTATTGAACGCGGTCATATACATGTTAATGGTGTTGCATTTGCTGATAGTGAACAAGGTCCAATAACACTTTATGATGCATTTTCATTAGGTTTAATAAATCGTCGTGATGGTGGTAAACTAAATCCAGCTAAAATGACTTTATATCGTGCACGATTAGTTGAATCAAAATTACATCGTATGAATGTTGAAGATGCTATACGTTGTGGTTTACTTAATCTTCGTACGGGTCTTTATAAACATCCACATAGTGGTGAACAATTAAATTTAAAAGAAGCTATACAACGTGGTTTAATTGATGGACAAAGTACTGTTATTGAAAATCCATCAACAGGTCGTTATATGACATTAAAAGATGCATTAGATGGTATACGTATTGATAATGATGGACAAGTTATTGATTCATATTCAAATAAAGTTATAACAACATTAGAAGTAGCATATAATCATAGAAAATTATTTTCACAATTTGATGTTAATGCTGGTGAAATATTTCTTCCATCACAAAATGAATCAATTGGTTTTGAAAAAGCTGTACGAAAAAATTTACTTGATAATAATCGTATAAAATTATTTGATCCTAAAACTAGTCGTGAATATACTATACAAGATGCTATTGAACGTGGTTTAATTGATCATGAATCAGGTTTAATATATGATACACGTTCTCGTACAACATATTCAATACGTGAAGCTATACGTCATGGTATTATAACTATTGTTGGTGCACCACTTGTACCAATTAAAGCTGATCATGAAACAGTTGCAGCAAAAATAACATCAAGAAATCATCGACGACATTCATTAGCTAAAAGTTCATTACATTTTGATTATAATAGTGCACCTGATTCAGCTGATGAAGATTCACATGCTAGTTCTGGTTGGCATCGTATAACATCAAAAAATCGACCTAGTAGTCCATTAAGTACAGGTGGTAAACGTAGTATTCGTCGGCGTACTGGTTCAAGTCCATCAAGAAATAATAATACTAATCGTTTTACATGTCGTGATGATGATTGGAGAACAGGATGGAAAGGAGGTCATAAAGATGATGATGATGATGTATTTGGTGGTGGCGGCGGATCGAAACGTACTGGTGGTAATTCATATTATACAAGTTCAACAACAACAACAACTCGT